GTATCTGCCTGTCTTTTCAACAAGAGCCTATTGCTACATGTCTGGTGCCTATGGTGCCCTTGCGATTCCTTGCGATTGACTCGTTGGGTTTCCATGTTGCCCCGTAAATAGAGCAGAACTACATAGATAAACTTATCATGGCAGCCATCATTCAAAATCATACCACCGTTCTATCAATTTTCTATCGTTGCATAAAACCACGTATTTTACTGGCCGGGTCGGGTAGGATCTTGGGAGGGCCCAAACAAAGCATGCTTTTTCTTGGCAGGTGGTTTCTCTTCGAATGTATCCATCATACTGCGTAGGTGGTACCTAGGGAGTTTGTTACTTACTGTATGCGTAGCTTATTCCAATCCAGATTGTTGGGGATGATTAGACGTTACTTACTTAACTACTATCCTGCAGTCCTTCCTTCTGCCTTGGGTACCGTACCACCACTATTTTCACCAACACTTACGGATGTATGTACGCTGCTACAAGTTGGAAATGAAAATAACACGACAGGATCTTCAACTATTGTCTTCGCATATATAAATTGCCTAGGCATATGCTTAAATTAATTATTGCAACTTGGTAAGGCACTAGGCTAGCTGAACTAAAGGAGTGTGTTGACCCCACAAGTGGTCACAAGGGCAAAGCAAAAGTGCGAAAGGTTTGTTCAATCTGGTCAGATAAAAGGAAGGGAACGACAAAAGGCACGCCGCGGCCTGGGCTCGTTAATCGTTAATAGGCACAACCTATCCCCTGCGTCAAATGAGATCATGCGCAGAGATACGTGAACGAGTCTAGAAGAGCTTGTGCTCGAGAGTCATGTCGGACTCAGGCTGCAAGCCGATGCAGGCGCGGAAGACGTTGGTAATAGCAGCGCGCTGCTTGCTCAAGGAGTTCACGACGGGAGTTCCTGGTGGGGTCAGGGGAGCCTGAGAAAAAATTTTGTTAGTTCACTTAATCCGTAACCAGCAGCAAGAACCTAGAGAGCAAGGATAAAAGTACCTTTAGCATATAGCTGAGGAGGCTGAGAACGCTGTGGAAACCCTTGTACTTGTCGCCAGAGGCGGGCTTCCAGCTAACACGAGTCATGAGCTCCGCAATGAGGACCAGGTCAATGATCAGCGGGGAGGCGAGGAGGGAGTCCTCGCAAACGTTGAACATGCTGATGGTCTGGTGGCCGCCCATGAAGATCTCAGCGTAGTACTCGTCAAGAGCCCGCTTGTTGTCTCCGACAGCCGGCATATACTTGATCACGACAGTGTGGTCGGGGTGCTCGTCCTTCTTGTACAGGATATGGTTGGCAGCAACCATATCGTCAACGACATTGGACTTGGAGATCTCCTTGGAGCGGAACTGCTTGTGGGAGCTCAAGTTCATGCCATCATTGTTGCCTAAGTGGTTGTAGGAGGCAATCGAAGTGAGCTTGATACCAGCGTTGATCAAGAAATCCACGAGGGCGGACTTCATCTTGGTCTGGCCGGATTTGAAGTCATCTCCACCGATGAAGGCACCACGCTCCTCAGCAAGTTTGATAACTCCTGGAACAAAGGTGTTCTGAGGGGAGCCGTTGATGAAGGGCGCATCTTCCAAGATGGACGCAACCGCGAAAACGGTCGACGGGGAAACTTCCTCATGGCCGTCCTTGATAGCCTTGAGGAGATTGTCGGAAGTGTCATTCACGCCTGCGAGGACGTCGGCATAACGCTCAGTGTTGGCGGTCCACATGATGATAACCTTGTCCAATCCGTTGGCAGCCTTGAATTCACTATAGTAGCAATATAGGGTTAGGAATATATCTCTGAACCGATATCAATTGCAAAATTTTGAGCTTACCGGATATCCTGTTGAATCTTCTCAACATGAGCCCACGAGGCCTTGGAACCCTCGATGACGTTATCAGCACGTTCCTCCTGGTTGGCGGCGATGAAATCTGGGTAGTAGACACTTGGGAGAGGCTTCATTTCGGCCATCTCCTTGCGGACCATTTCTTTCAGGGACGGCTCCAGTACTTGGGCACGGTCCATGGCATCCGCAAGGTTCATACCGCTGATATCCCAGCCTCCAATGGCCAGATCATTGGGGTGGACCATGGGCAACATGTCGTGGAAGGGAACATTGACCTCCTGGGCGGTTTCCGGGTCAGTACCCAGCTTGACGGTGGAGGCCATGATGACGGAGCCGTAGTAGTTGGCGGCACGTTTGCCCTCGCAAGTGTCCCAGACGAGGCCACGACGATTAGCAATGATACCGGCAGTGACGGTGGTACCGTTATTCCCACCCCATCCGACAAGCATCATGCCGACTTTGCCGACCTTACGGTTGACCTTGAAGTCATAGGCAGATTCCTTGGGAGCGGCAACATACTTACCATCTGCGGCACGAGTGACGGCAGTAGTATGGTACACATACCTCGATTTGATTTCCTCATCAGTGTAGACGACATTTGGGGAGTCCACAGTGAAAAGAGTAGGAGTTGTTGAAGAAGTCGACACCGACCCGTTCAAGGAGACCTTAGCTTTATCTTCGGCGTGAGGGGCCATCTTGACTTGTCAAACACGAAAAAAATTGGCGCGGGTTTGATTGAAAAGTGATTGAAAGGTGAAGAAGGTAGAAGTAGAGAGTAGAGATCTCGAGCTTCAAATGGCAGTCAAGAGCTTTGTCGATTTATCGAACAAAAGGCAAATCCGATGCTCCTCCACGAGCGGACGAGCGTCGGCTTCCGTTGAACGGGTGGTGCGACCTGCAGGGAGATGAAAATTAGCAACTGTACTTTCACAACGCGAGATATTACAGCTACGAGTGAAGCAGAACAAGGGAAATAGCAGTGGTTATCCATTCCCCCTTGAGAGAGATATCAATGGCAGATACAAAAAAGAAAAAAAAGAAGAAAAAAAAGAGGGGGGGGCGGGGGATTAAGCAACAGTGACGGCGCCATGGAGGAGCAAAATCGACTTACGAGGGAAGAAGATTGGAAAACGTTTTGGCGGTATTGATGGACCACTTCCTAGAGAGTGATCGAAAAGCAAGAAAGCAGAGTTGGAAAGATTGCTGAAGGGGGATTGGATTTTTGGGACTGAGATTGAGGTTGAAGAAGAAGAAGAAGAAGAAGAAGAAAAGAAGTCGAGGTTGACGAGGGGCAAGAGGCAGCTTTTGTAGTCAGCAGGCAGAAGAGCAGGGTAACTACGCAGTACAGTAACTAAGTTAGCTGGTAAGATTATGTTATGTGGAGCCCGGTGTGTCTGCGGTGGAACACTCTTCTTATTATTATATTATTGTATTATTGCGGGTACTCTGTACTTCTTCTGCCTTCTGGCTTTATTATTATTGGCCTGGTCTTGTCCGATGCGATGAGCGATTAATATCAACACAGAAACATTGTCGTCATTATTGTAGCCATGGTGATTAAATATTAGTTTAACGATTCCCGACCCTACGTGAATGAACGAAACGAGCGGGTTTTGGACCTGACCTGAAGCATCCCGCCAGCAATCCCGTCATCGTCATAGAGGAAGAGAAGAAGCTTGGGAATATGCAGGTCGACATGCGCCATTCCTGCAGCCCATCTGGCCAACTGGACTGGCTACTGCAGGTTGTTGCGGCGGCTGCACCGGCAGAACACAATGAGTTGTTCCTATCCATACAGAGTACGGAGTACGTAGTTACTGCATGCACCATTGGAAATTATCCCCGCCCTAATAAATGATTAACTATCGATAAGATAAACCAACAACGCACACAGAACCTTGTTTGACCATACTGTTGCGTCTGTATGTAGTTACTCCGTACTACTAGTACACTAACCTCCTTCATAGGCAATGTCCAGCGAGAGCAGTTCTCCTGCCCAACCAAACACCCAGCCCATTGCCTACTGTGCATTCAGAACCCGCTCTCCCGCCTCAGGAATGTTACACCACTATAAACCTCCACTTGCTGTGTTGAGTTGCTGATTTGACGTATTTGGAGTTCCCGCCCATGTTTCCCACCTAAACTTCCGAAGGGGGGACTTCTTTTTTCGCATCCCACAATAGTGGAATGGAAGTCCCCCCTTGCCCCGCCTCCGCAAAAATGGTCACTATTCTTCTTACCCATTTTTATTGCTACACGGTCTCACTGTGCAGCTTCAAATCTGTCCTCTCCAAGCCATTACAGGCCAAAGAGGGGCTCTTGGAAGGAATTTTACGGAGGCACATTGTTTCTTGAGCAGGTTGCGCTAGGCGGAGCCCCATAAATCGACTATTCCTGTGTACATACATGTACACACTCTGCAGCATATATCAAAACCATATCGCCTGCATGGCGGAGTTACCACTGCAGCATAGCCGACTGTATCAACTCCGATGTGGACGGCAACTGCCAGAATCCCACTCATAACCGAGCGGATGCATTAAAATAAAAAAAGAAAGAAGAAGAGCTCACTTGTCTTGTCCCATTTCCTCTTTTTTTCGTTTGCGTGATTCTGTTGACGTGTTCAG